CCTTTGAATTTTTCATTTCACGGCACAAACATATTTTTATAATCCCTCATAGCCGTGACACAAATCCGTCTGAAAATTTCAGAAAATAATTCATCAAGACATCACCGGAATCTGTCAATTTTTAATTACAAAAATTATGACGCTAATTCGAAATGTGACGACAGAAAGCGTAATGAAAAGTTAATTTCATTAAAATTTAATCTTTTCATAGCCAGCGGCGTGCTCGAAGTAAACTTTGTAATAAAGCAAGAAAGGAGATTGCTGGAGAATGTAAACATTTGTGTTTTTCCACCAATTTCAGTAATTTTATTAGGCTGGCTACGAATACTTTTTTATGGTCGTATGCTTTTTTATTTGCAATGTTTTTAGGAATCGAGAGAGAGAGAAATCAAAATTTTTTAATAGCAAGGGAGACTGGGTATGGTTGTGCAAGGCTACGGTAGTGATAGTCGTCATAACAGCTAAAATATACTGATTATGAAAAAAGGGTCCAAAGGGGAAAGATAAAGTATGTTTGTTCGAACAAGTTTCCATTATTGTATCGAGTCAGCGCCTTACATTAACATGATCTGTACAACAAATTGCTTTAAAAGAGTCAAAAGTAAGTTTTTTGGTTCCTTTTCTTTGTAACTTGTATACATATAGATTACTCTGTTTGTTATTTCACTGTAAGTTGAACATTAGTAATTAATTATCAGCAATTAGTTTTTGTTTTTTATGTGACATGCATTTGCTGTGACATATACTCTTTTTTTGGGGTAAAATTTAAACAGATAAAAAAAATCGCTTTGTGAGACAAAGTACAAAAAAACAAAAAAATAATATGCTAAAACAAAAGATTTCACACAAATTTCTTATTTACAAAATTATATTTTATTACATTATATTCAATAAGCTTTGTTTGAATGTCTATGTTGACCGTCCTCGGATGTGGACGGTTGTGACACTCGCTCTTTATGTATAATTTTGTTTTCTGACTAATTCATCGTATTTAAGAACAGTATTTTTAGTATTTTTTTACAGGCAAAAGTTCAAATTACCATTTAACTTACTATTCGTTCCAGCTAACTGGTGAATTAAAAATTATGCTCATCAAAAAAATGGCACAACCTCATCCAGTATCCCCTACATTAATTTGACTTAACATTTATTTTTATTCTGTATTATTCAATTGCGCGTAAGATTCACACGCGATTGAAATATTTTTTTTTGTATTGTACGAAATGGCATATAAGTTAAAAATAAATACAACATGTAACAATTGTAAATGATGTTTATTAGTAATATGGTAACACTCGTGAAGCATACATTTATAAATGTCGAGCATTATACATATTTATATAATAATAAATAATTAATTATATATTTATAATATCATTAAAAATATTTATATTATTTAAAAACAATAATGTAATTTAAATCTACTTCACATATGACATGATCGGTTTGTCATTGTAATTAGCATTTAAAGTTGAGTTTTCATTAGAGAAATGAAGCAATTGCTGATTAATAAATTCCATAATATTCGTTCACACAGTGGATTATTGTAAACAATGCCTAGAGAAATATTGTTTTCACAATTTTGTTCATCATATAATTGTGTTTGAAGAACTTTATGTAATAAAAATTAACATACTTTTATAAACTGCTTGTATTTCTTTTTTATTTTTTTGCTAACGATACAATCTCATTCTTTAAGCAGCTGTAATATCTGTCTTGCCTATAAAAATATTTTCCATTTTGATAAGATTTACAGAAACTTCGAATAATATAGAAATTACTTCAATAATCTTACGTTTCTCACACAGCACAAATGTTACGTTTGTTTTATTATTTTCAGCATAATTATTTACGTGAGACTAGGTGAAATATTCTTCTGATTCAGGCATTTTTTTATTAAATCAAGATTTGTACTACATTGTAACCTTCAAATCTAATGACAGTTCGATCTCTTCGATGATGTAGGCCGGTACGCTTACAAAGAAAGATTTTTATTCATTCGACACGACGACTAATTACAATCGACCTGTATAGAAATTTCAACCAGAGCGAATGACATTTCGGGCGTAACGCAACTTCCGTTGCATTTTCACAGATTTACTCCCTATTTAGGGTGACTAAAGAAGTTTTACTTAAAAAATTACAGTTATTGCTTCATAACTATTTTTTTAATTTATTGTAATTATGAATCCAGAATTCTTCTACGTTTATAAATCAGGTCATTTATGGCAACAATCAATTACTTATTTTACTATATACGATCAGTTATTCTGATTTTAGTTTCTTTGTAATGCAAATACTATTTCAATTCGGAATTCTAAATTTGCATACTCTATATGTCCCTCCACAGACAGAGATAGACAAGTATACAAATGGATGAAAAAA